ACTGGACACAAGATCAGACGAAGAAGGGGAGCAGATGTAGGTGGATTCACACCACTCACTGTCTAGTGCAGGGAACCTATCTCCGAAATCAGGTTGAAAGCGTTCGCAGAAGTTGGTGATAGACCACGGTTGAAGTTGAACATCCAGCTAGAACAGAGACTGAAGTGAAGGACGAAACTCCGTGGGACATGTTCACGTCAGTCAGTCATGAGGAAAAGATGGGAGACATTATGGAACATGCTCGAGGAAACCTGTGAGGAAGAACACTGGAACTGTTTGAAAGGCATGTGGAAGGACACCTGCAGAGTTGTGTTAGGAAGGAAGGTGAAGGAAGATAGTGAGTGGGATGTATCTCAACGGACACATGTAAGCGGATAGAGAAGAGGGATGAGAGGAGAGGAGAGGAGAGGAGAGGAGAGGAGAGGAGAGGAGAGGAGAGGAGAGGAGAGGAGAGGAGAGGAGAGGAGAGGAGAGGAGAGGAGAGGAGAGGAGAGGAGAGGAGAGGAGAGGAGAGGAGAGGAGAGGAGAGGAGAGGAGAGGAGAGGAGAGGAGAGGAGAGGAGAGGAGAGGAGAGGAGAGGAGAGGAGAGGAGAGGAGAGGAGAGGAGAGGAAGCTGGTGAAGCAGAAGACGAACCAGCGCAAGGATGAATAATGAGAATAAGAAGTGAGTACAACGTATAAAACACTACACTGGACAAAGAAGTTAAGAAAAGTGCACGGAAAGCCAAGAGACACGTCTACGAAACACTGGCAAGTGAAGCGGAACAGGCTGCACGTAGGCGAGACAGAGAGAGACCTGACAACATTGTATCGAATAACCAGGTTACTATCTGGGACGGAGGAGATCAAGGTGGATGAAACCAATGAGAGATAGTGAAGGAAGCCCAGTCAGCAAAAAGGAGAGTTAAAGTGAACGATGGACTGACCACTTGAAATAACTGTTGAATCGACCACCGCCACCATCACATGCAACTCGTCCAGAAATACCACCAGCAACTCAGCCGCAGAATTATCAGTGAACACAAGTCCTGCGAGAAAAGGAGAAGTGAACTGGTGAACGCTATAAAGTTGCTGAAATCCAGGAAAGCGGGAGGAGCAGATGAAATTCCGTCAGGAGCACTGAGAACAGACACAGAGAGAACGGTGAACTTGTTCACAGCATTAATGCGGGAAGTTTTGTCTTAATCCTTTTAGAAAACATTGACTTCATCTTGTCCAATTTGTCGAGTGCGATTACATAATACTTAATTGATTTACCATTTTCAACAATTTTTTCACCCCCTTCTGAGTTATATACTCCCTATACACCATTTCATATATTACATAATCTATTTGTTAGCATTCGCACTTCAATTGTTATTATAATCATAAATGCCTATGTCATCACCCGCTCTATTATTATTCTCATCACCATATAGTGTTTAGTTTTCCTCACAGGATATATATTTTTCCAAATACCATATATATACGATTGTACAGCTTGAAAATAAATTCGTTGAAAAGAGTCTCTTCGCTGAATATCTTGTTCTTGATGTTACAGTGGGAATTATTAAATTATATGCTATGTGATGAGGCTGCATGCCAAGTGAATCACAATGGAGAGCTGAGTGGTGCCTTTGCAGTGAAGACAGGCGTAAGACAAGGCTGCCATATACTATCATCGATGATCCTCCTGATTGTGGTCGACTGGATGATGCAGCGAACTGTGAGGTGCGGGAAGATGTACATTTGATGGTGGATGGGTGAAAATGCGCTATCAGATTTGGATTTTGTCGACGGTGATTTGTGTCTGATGTTGCACACGCTTCACGATCGATAGGCCAAGCCCAACTAGTTGAGAGGAGAGACAGGTCAACGAAGGAAGACGGGACTTCAAGTGAATGTGGAGAAGACGGAGTTGATGAAGGTAGCCAACCACCACCGCCAACACCACCACCACTATAAACAACCACAGCACCAATCTTCATGAACAGGAGGAAGTCTAAGTAAGTAGTCTCTTTCACCCACGTAGGCAAGGCAACATCGTGTTAACTACAGGCGGCGGTGGCATAGATGTGAATGTGAAAGCCAGGATCGGAAGAGCATGACTGGTTTTTATTAACCTGAAACTAGTGTGGAAATCTACTGCGCTGCACTGCACTCAGCATAAAGCGTGAGCGAGATCCGAATTTTCAACACTAATGTCAGTCAAGTCAGTGCTTCTGTGTGTTGACTGAGAGACTTGTCAGTGCGTTATGGAAAGCATTTGCAAGAAACAGCAAACATTCATCAACAGGTGCTCCCTACACTCACTCGATACTGAAGACCAGATGGATGGCCAGAATAGTAAGAATGAGGAACAAGGAACTCACTGTGGCCTTGCAACAAACCAACCAAGAACCTATCACCCAACAGATATGCAGATGGAAATGGAGATGGATCAGGAATCCACTGAGTAGACCATTCGGAGACATCAGGTTGCAGACCCTCGAATAGAACCTGTAAGTGAAACGATGATTTGGGCGTGTTAGGCTAGGTTGACATGGGTGAGATGGTGTGAGGAAGAAATGGAAGCTTGTGGGCAGTGGTGGAGCGAGTTTGGAAAGACTGTAGAGAATAGACCGGAATGTAGATGTGCTACTGAAGCCATATTTTACACCAGGAACCCATTGGAGAAATAATAGTAATTATACATTTCAGAAGCAGTTTTCTGAAAAACAGCAGTTAGACGTACTGCATGACCAGTGAAGCTACTTTTGGAAAGTCATTGAGAAATTTTAGTTATTCAAAGTTGTTTATTTGGCTTCTATTGTATCAGTCTTCACGGATATATGTTATGATTCATTCAAAGGATAGCAGAGTATATCGTTTTCGAAGTGCGTATGCTTTTGTAATGGGCAGTGAGCTTTTCTACGGTCCTTATATAAATATGTGAATAAGCCTATTGAGAGTATTGTTTTATTCATTATAGTAACGTAAATTTCAAAGATATACTAGACGATTGACGGATTGAATTATTACTTGAACTGAATAGTCTTCTTCTTAAAGTAATAGACAGACATTTCTGAAAATCTGTGTCTTTTTTTAAATGAAGGAGCAAAATAGTCTTCACCACCTTTTGAAGTTAAAGATCGACCGAGCTAACATGGTAGAAAATGAGGAAGAATCTGAACACCAACCAGTATATGAAATGAATCGACACTAGCTATTGTTAACGGATGTCAACCAGAAGCGTGAAAATTCTGCTATGAACAGGTTTGCATAATGACTATTTACTTCAGTGAAATTTTTGCATAGAACAGTTAAGGGAACCTGTTTGAATGAGTTTCAGGATACGTCTAATATCTAAAGAATATGAGATACCGTCAGACCAGTTGATGTTACAATGAGAAGTGGTGATCTGTGGAGTGGAACAGGTTGTTTTTGAGGAAACTTTTTTGTGTGAAACACTAAATGATGGGTATAATACGTTAGAAACTGACAAAAGTTGATGGAAACAGAACCGGGCTCCATGTGAATGGTTCAGCTTTAGACTTAACGGTTCTGTGTCATAAGTAGTTTGGAAGTAGGCTGAAACTTATGAATAGAACCGCCTTGTTGTCGGTCGATCTTTGCTTGATTTCAATTCGTAATAAATGTTTTGATATTGACCATTTTAACAAAATTAATACAGTTATTACAACTGTTTATTTACAGTTTATCATTTTAGTCTAGCCAGCTGTTTTATGTATTTAGGTAACTATGCTCACTCATGTCTAACTTTAGTTTACACATTTGAGACAGCTTAGCCTGGTCCGGTTTTTTATGTCTGAGTTTCTTTACACATCATGATATCTTGAAATAGCAACTAACAACCAAAGATTATGTAGGTCAGTCATGTTAAACGTTTTGGGGGGGAGTCGTGACCAGTGTAATCACCTAAGTGTAACATGAGGACAGTTACTCATTGATGGCATTAGGTGGTGGTCACGCTATATCGTGAACTGACAGAATTAGGAAATATGCACCACTGGACTTGACCCTGTAGCTCAATGATTACGTGTTGCCCTTGGGACCTTAAGGTCCGGGGTTCGGTCCCTCGTGGGTTCATAGTTGCTCGCTGATTAAGAGTCCTGTACCAAGACGAAACAGCTGTCCGGCGTTCTCCGGTTTCAAATGGTTCTCCAACTGATGTTATTCAGTGATGAATATCAACCTGAAATTATTGATTTTTCGAATTATGCTATAAAGCTGATAAGAATTCAGAAGCATCAATTAACTTCTGTGCTGCAGATGCTGCCCTTATTGTCTCACTGTTTTGGATCATTGTACCATCGTCTACTATGTCATTCACTTCTTAGTGGCAGTACCAATTTAAAAACATTGAGGCATGTCTGGTGGGTTAGGAAATTGTTTACAGATTGCACTGTCTGCATTGATATTTGTTAGGGATGAGTCATCTTCGAACTACTCCAATATAAGATCAGTTGGGTCTTCTTTGAAAGTCATCCACTTCAGACTGGAGATTTTGATCTTTGACACAAAAGTTTGGTGAGCTAATAAAGTAGGCTACTAGGCGTGCACTTTCCCTTCATAAGAAGCTGTCTGTAGGACTGTGAAGAAGACTCTCATTTCAATACTATTTACGTTTAAATGTTGGAAACATTTGGTGCTTGTATTCACTGAAGATGCTAACTAATGTCGTAAATATATCCAATGATATCAGTTCTTGATGAATACTACTTCGATTTGCACTTCTGACTAGGACGAGGCCACTAAAATGCAGAGTTTGATATTTTACTTTCTATATAAGAGAACTACTTCATAATTCGTTAATAAAATAGTGATGCGAAATATGAAAATATGTGTCATTTGAGTATACAAATTGCTTGAAAACACTTGTGGCCTGATACATGGAATGGTCTGTGTGTGTTTCGTCATTCTCTGTCAAGAGTTAGAATCCAACCATTAACTCAGTCTTGTCATTAACAAATTATTAAATATGACTTCTAAATTATGCATAATTAATGAAACACTCTTACAGAAGTGACAACTTTGTAAGTATCCCCAGCGCTTTTAGGTCGAAATGATTTTCCGAATAGCATTTTTCGCTGATTTTGTTGGCCATCGTTCAAAGTAGCTTGACCGTGACTTTCGGAGATATGATCAAATTTGTGACTACTTAGCATTCTTGGTGTATTTCCTGTTGAACAACCATAAATGCATAACTCATGTTCCAATATACCTTTGATCCTCTCAGCTGGTATAGAAGGTATTGAGGAGTAGCGACTGATTGAAACGACATTGTCGAATGATTTTGGTGCTCCTTGAAAAGAAGTTAAAGGCCTGATATAAATGTGCTAATGATGCAATTGTAATTAAAAACTGAAATCATGAAACGAAACATAAGCAGTTTAGGACCTTTGAAGCATTACAGTTCATGAAATTATTCAGTTTCTTTAACCCGTTTTTTTCGAAGATAAACAGAAATAAAATTTTGTCATTTCAAAAATACTTGGGTTTCTTCGCTTTATTTCTTAGGTGTTAAGAAAAACACGCAAATGCATCAATATGAAACGTTTACTCAGCTATGTGTAGTAATGATGGGCAGTGGCTAGCAATGGAATCCAGCATGCGCATTTCGTCCTATTCGGGACTTGTTAGCTGGATGTACCTGCCTCCATTCGGTCCAATAAACGACGGTGTAATACAAGCAATAACACTAAGTTTACTCAGTTAAATATGCGATCCAGCTGTAGCAGAAATTCTATTCCTTTTTAATACTTTTTTGTACGCAAACCATTTATTGATCCCATTTGGCATACATCATCTCTAACCGTTGAAAAGGTATTCATTAAATACTGGCTGCAACAAGCCTTTAATTACTTTTTTGAAAATTCAGTCAGTTTTTGAGAAAAATAGCTGACAAAGGTAATTATTTTCTCTAAGCAGGTCAGAAATCAAAGTTTCAGTGTAATTCAAATTTACCGGAAATTAAATCAGTTAACATCTTAAGAATGGTATTTATCAGTTGCTTTATATTTTACGTTATTATCAAAGAATATTTTTTATCACTCATCATATTTACACCTAAACGACTAATAAAGAAGTTAAACTGAATCATGTAAGCTTCCACTCAGATGCTAACACAGCGAACTATTCCGTTCATAAATTTCACTTGTCAACTAACTGTCAAAATATATCATGGTGACTGGTGTCACTTGATTATTCAAAAACCGAACACAAAAGCGTCCATCACGCCTAGGTTTTCAGCATTCACGATGTTTCATTTGTCATAGATATATAACCTTAGAAACTAGAGGACTGACTGATAGCACGTTGTTGTAATTGAAGAATGTCTAGTACTACTTATACTAACCACCATTTTTAAGGATAATTAGTGACCTGAGAAACAGTAAAATATCTTTCAACTGAAATATCATTTGAGATTGGTTTTCAAGTTCAGCTTATCAACATGCCTCATTCATTATTGCCTTAAAATTATTTATCTTGTATGACAATTTAGATAAATAAAAATCTTTCTAGACGAAATACTTTGGCTTTTATAAATGTGCTTGAAAGCATAAAAATTTATATTCGTGATCTATGCATGGGTATATGTGTGTTTATATTACCTGCTGTATACATGATTGCCACTTGCATTAATCAGTTTCTTGCAATTTCTAAAGCATTGATAAGTGCTCAATATGTCGAACAGGCTTGCTGAAGTACATATTTAAGATGCACAGAAAAAAATTTGTGGATACCTTCTTGTTAAAATAATTAAATGAGGGTTCGTTTGCTATTTTCGTGATAATCGAAGATGCAATGGAGTATTTTGTACCTAACTATATTTGTGTGATATATTTTTAACTTACACTTATATGTTTTTCCAGAACCTATTACTGCGTTAGGTAAACGAACAACAGAACCTGCTTCGTTTCGCAAAATAAGTCAATATTGGCCAATATAAAGCAGTCATACAGACTATGGAAATCATCAACTGAATTATACTTAGCTTTTAAGCAGTATTGTTTGGAATTTGTATCCCTTTTGAGTAACAGTTTTGTTCAGATATACTGACCACACTTTAGTTCAAAATTTTCATCTTCTAACTGAATTACTGCTTTTTTTAACTTGTCATATACATAGTTCACTGTTTTAAGTTGAAATACCAAAACACAGGAAAATGAAATTTATAAGTGGAGACGTTTTCTCTTGTTCTCTTTTTATTATTGACTCTTTGAGAAATCTGAAGTATGCCTATCAGTTTCGAGAGTGAAACATGAATGAAATGATATCAGCATGGAGGCATTAAAACTGACATGGGGATAAATTCAATCTTCAGTTTATTCCCAACATTCTACATTCCTGCTTATTATGACACTTCAGTTAGTAGCTTTATTTTAACTAAGAGTTTAAGGACATATATATTTCATTTCATATTGCGGCTACCTTGTAGCGCATGCTTATATGCTTATATTTGTGCTTGTAATTCCTTGCTGTTATTCTGGACAGAATAGATCTGTTAGGATATGGGTTCCTATGCGAATGCTTGAATATTGTCTACTTATTTATCATGTTGGAGTTTGCTTGATGGTGGATAGCACTGGGATTCAGTGGTCACAATACTACTCACTAGCGTGCAGGTACCTCTAAATAGGTCAAAACTCACGTCCTTAATTAATTTACTAGCCATCATCAAGAAAATTATAATATAGTGAATAATAATGTAATATAGAGGCATTTGCATGCGACCTCACATGACAACAGACTTCTGTCAACTTAATCCCGGATGACAAGGTAGAATTACAAGCATCAGTAAAAAATAATATTAATCTATCTGTTAAATATTGTACGTCATGGTTCCCGAAGAAATCTCATTTATTTCCCTTGAAAAGTCAATCGAAACTGAGTGTTTGAATACTGTTCATTTGAGTGGTTGTTGAACTGATCAGCTTAAATGCAAGTAATCCTGTTTTATAGCAATCTGAGCTAGGTATCTTGTGGGTTAAATATACCATAACAGTCATTACGGGCAACCAGTTATTATTCCTATGAATAGTTATCATTACTCAGTAACATCTTATCACTTCATATTATTCATCAATCGACAACCAATGGAACGAAACACCTAGAATAAATTTCTCCTCTTCAACAACACCTTTATAAGTGAAGAATAAAGGTGATAGAAACACATTTGGAAAGGTACAAACCACATCTCGTTTACAAGTTATCAGTTTCACGCTTCAATTGAAACGATAAAAACTTGTTTGTTAGTACAGTAAATGGTTGTTTTAAGTAACTGGTTAAACAAAAGTTAAATTGGCACACGAGGATAAATTCTGAATTTAAAGGAAAACCTGCATGCCATCGGGTTTCGAACAAGGCAAATCTGTCCTTCTAGCACAGTAGCCTAACAAGTGAAATACAGGTTATGATGTGATACAGTAGTCGTTTCGCCTAATGATCTTGGCACGGTGCATCCTCACCGGAAACAATGATACCTCTTTTTGGACCCATTACCATTTGTTTGCCTTTTTTACTGATTTTGTTTTTATCCTTGGTTTTCCAAAATAAAATGGATAAATAAATTTTAGATTAGACTATGAGACAGTTTATGAAAATATTTTACCGCTTCATACTGCGGATCAGATGGTAATCAAAATGCTTCTTCTCTCTTACCGTTGGTTAGATCGAAATGATTGGTCACTATTGGCATATTGGGTTCTTGTGAGCATGAGTGGATGTTGCCAGTATTTTCAGTCTGATATTATTGATGGACAGTGACTAGCAATTTATTCAGAGGCACGTTTCATTCTGTTTAGGATTTGTCTAATGGATGTTTCTGCACATTAGTGAGTGATGTTCTCCTCACTGAAACTCGAACCCGGTACTAATCGCTTCAAACACCAGGGCATTATACACTAGATTACTGAGTCAAGATAGCTGGCAGTGGCCAATTAATTTTGTCCAATAAATGACAGGATACTACAAGCTATCACATCAAAACTACACTAAATCTGCTGAAAAGGAAGGGATAATCGTGACTCAGTGTCTTAGGGAACAACGATCTGGCGTTTGAAGTAATTATAACTTAGTTCGAATCCCACTGGGAATGACATCCCTCCCTGAAGTGAGGAAACATCTAGCTGATGATCATCAGATAAGAGGAAAGATGCATTTCCAACTCCTCCTCCTAGATAGTGCCCATCATTAATATTTTTTCATTTTTAGTTTACTCAGTTCATTTAAGCTAACAACGATCACACTCAAATGAATGTGAGCGGGGGTGCCTATGATAAATGAAAATATGTCTAGAACTGAAAGTATTCCCATGCTTTTCATTTACAGTAAGATGAGCTTTTTACAAATGAGATACTGAAAGACAACTGAAGCTGGTTCAAAATTTAATTTTCATAGATGATTCATTAATCACTTTAAATGCGTGTCTGCCAATTGCTAGTCAGTTTGTGAGGTCAGTTATATTGCAGGTTTCATCTCATTCACAGCTATCATGATAGATAATAAATGAATGGTACTGATCAGAAGTAAAACGTTAAGAGAAATACATTATATATTAAACCACTGGCTTACTTTTTAAAACATATTTTAAAACTAATTTCAGTATGTGATACAGATAGTGAATACATTATTAATAATTCACTATTGGCAGGATAAAGAGAGAAAAGAGAAAAAGCTTCTCATAGAATTGTTAATGTTCTGAGTTGATAATGTGACACATTTGTATTCTACCGAACAGCACTAAACGTAGGCCTTACAATAATACACAGCGTTTTTAGTAATAAAAATTATTCATGCATTACAGTCATTATATATCTGCTTATTCAACTTAAACATTACTATGAAATTCATCTTTCTTGAGCTATAATTTCGTAGTCTTAAAATATTCCTCCTTAGAAAAAGCAAACTAATCATGATGTTCGTTGAAAAGAATTTAGCAGACAATGACTGCTTTTCTAGTATACCTTAATGAAATTATTGATTTAAGATTATGCAGAGTTAGTTTACCATTTTTGTAAGTAACTCTAGAGGGCACCACAGCAACAATTGAAATAACCGATAGTGTTTCTTGATTCCTTGAAAAACTTATTCAGAAGGAAACAAAGTGACATAATCAGTTATTCCAGTCATTATTAAGATGGTGGTTAAATTCAGTTGTAAGTTCAATGGAATTATAGAGTGTAACCGAAATTCACTAGTCCTATTGCCAATATTGGATTCACCTAGACGAATACAGTGATTTCTATTTTGTAGTCTGAAGTAATTTTAGAGATCCTACGGATGATTGAGTAAAGCGATTCCTATATCTTATTCACTTTAACTATAATATAGTAATTACATAAACATTTGTACATTTTTGTACTTATTAAGTAATGAGGTTGTAACCTGTCACATATTTTTGAATGTACTTTATCCACAGAGCAAGTATAAGTTAAATCGTTAACAAGATCTTGTTAAGCCTACAGTTTGGACTTATCAAGTCACATGTATCATGTGAACCATATTTACCGGTATGAAAACATCTCCAGTTACGCATGAAAACTTAGTTCTTTCAAAAATAAAAGACGTGAAACACTTGGGTCTTCACCCCAAACCAGATATAAGTTATTCTCAACATGAGATTCAGAAGTTTCTTCAGTGAGTATGAAAGAGACCTTTAAAGTATATTACTGTTATAGCTTTTCGTGTCAATATTTTTACTGGAAAAAACTGCCTACCGATTTAGTCCTTTCATCATGAAAGGAGACCAAGTGAACCAATAGTATGATAGATAATCTCTTTAGGCTGCTGTAGTTATTTACCAGATCTCAAGACAAAGATAATTCACTTGGAATGATTGTCTTTACATTCATTTAAGGAGATATTTATAAATTATATTGATTGTGATCCTTTAAATAAATGAATTTCATTCATTAGGATGAAATTATTTTAAAAAAAGTCTAATCCATATTGATTCAGAGAACTGTTGTAAGAAGATAGATGGAAAGGGGTATCTGCAGGATGTTTTTCAATATTTTAGTTCATTTTAGGCGACTTTTGTGTTTAGTATTACTCATCGTCAAGGCGTCTTTGCAGCTGCGAGAGAACTGAAACACCTCAGAGATCTGATTGTCTATCACCTAGCATTACAGTCAGAAACTTTATGACTTATCTGTTTAGACTGCAACTGACTTCTTGTAGAACTGGATTAAATGTGTCGATTAGTAATTTGAAAGGAAGCGATCTCAGTATGCTTAATGCTGAGTATTGATCGAAATCTATCGACCATTTTTATGATGTTATCTTTAGGATAGGTGACACTGTATTCCACTGGTTGATCGACTGATGTTAGTTGGTTGAAGTGAAAAAGTTGGAAACTTTGGTCACGTCAGTGTTTTTGCTTTTTGGAGCTTGTCGGAAACGCCGAACTGCAACGTAAATATCAAAATGCGAATAAAGCACTATCGTATAAGTTCCTTGTTTCAGGCTGAAAATTCGAAGCGCATAACAAAATTATTTATTATTTTCCATTGATTTCATTTCGAAAAAGTACTATCCACTTTTACTCCACATAAGCATCAAGTTAATTGCATCTGTTTCTTTAAATTAGTCAGTACTTACTTGGAAAATAGAGAATGCTATACGCTTCCCTAATATTG